ATGCCTGCTTTTGCCACAGCCGTCTGGGTCTGCCCCTACCCTCAACGCTCGTCCCAGAAACAGAGAGGCATGGGACAGTTCCACTTGCCAGGAGACACTGCATAGGGATGCAGCAGGAGCAAGTGCTCCCCCATCTGGCTGTGTATGGGGCATGCAAGGCAGTTCCACCTGGCCGCTGCATGGGAAGCCCCTGCACCATAGCATCCCTAAAAGGGTATGGATGCAACAATGCCCCAGGTGAGAACCTCTGGTCTAGGTAAAAACTGAACGTTGTCCTGAGTCAACAGGAAATGTGACAGCACTCTTTCATTTTCTTCTGCTGAAGTTAAATCTGCAGCTCTTAAAACGAAATGACCACCAGATTAGGAGGCTGCTTGAACACGCACAAGGGGAAGTTGCATTACTGTAAGGTCCCAGAAAACAGCAGTGCGATAATAAATGTGTGCTTACAGTACAAGGTTGTAAAAGATCAAATAAACTGGAGTGCAGAATAAACACAAATAATTACAATTAGGATACAGAGCTTTTTTCATCTAGGTTATAGTCCAAGTCTAACCAGCAATGGCAGTGACTTGGACCAAGATTTCCAAAAGCAATTAGTGATTTCCAAAAGCAATTAGTGATTTACTTATCTGTGACACTGAAGGGATGTGATTTTTAGAAGGTGACTGATCAGTACTGAGAACCACTCATACAAATGACACTGGAAGCAATGTTATACGGTATAATGCTCCCAGTTCACATCTTAGTGTTCACATCATGGAAGATGTCATTTGGGTCACACTTCCATTTAGAAACAGGGACATAACTCTTAACTAGAGCTCCTCCACTGTAGTCTAGCAGTCCATTGTGGGGAAGACTGTACTGATAGTATTGCACTACACCTGTTTTTGAGAATAAGCATATGACATTAGTCATCCAGGGCTGTCAAAGCCAAGATCTTTTGGAAGCTTTATATTTACTTTGAAAGAGCTTTAGAGAATACTATGAAACCCAGACAAGCCAAGAAACAGTGGCTAGAGGTGTGAAAAACTAAGGTACGAACTGCTAAATGTCTCTGTTGTTGCCATAATAAGATTTTAGAGGAAACTTCATTATCATACTATATATATATATATATATATACACACACACACACACACACACAAATAGAACTGTTTACCCCATTAGTGTTTCTGGGATAAAATGTATGAGTCATCTTCATTTCAGCTTCCGTTAATAAAATAAATGATTTGATGGTTTCTTTGGATACCACCCCCCCACCCCCCCCTACCCTTTTTGTTTTGTTTAAAGCGCGTTCATTTTCCTTACCAGGTGGATGAGCTGTATGAAGCCTATTGTATCCAAAGACGACTCTGTGATGGTGCCAACAAAATGAAGCAAGCATTTGCAATGTCTCCTGCCAGCAAAGCAGCTCGAGAGAGTCTGTCTGAAATCAACAGAAGTTACAAGGAGTACACAGAGGTAGGTGCTAACCTGTTTAGCCAGGCCTACACAGAATTCCCTCAGGTGCATTGTCATTGCTTTCTATGGGAATTTTGCCTGAATAAGGACTTCCAAGCGGTGTCTATAAGTCCGATAATTTACTTTCTGTTTTATAAAATGTGACTGAACAGAAGCAAATGAAAAACAGGACCGTCCAATTCTCTGGGACATTTGAAGAACTGTAAATACGTGCTTTACACTGTAGATCAGAATGAATGAAGTAGTCACAGTGCTCTAAACGACATTTATGTTGCAGCATACCAATACCAATATCACTATCTAAACATGTACACTGGGGCCACTGGGCAGAAAAAAAGCCTAAATCTATCCTGAATGCACCTGTATTCCAACTGAGTTGTTCCCATCTTAATAGCTTTCAGTAATCAAACAGTACATTTCAGTCCCCACTAGCTGGAAACCCATTAATATAAAGCCATATATCTTTTCTGGTCTTATTCATTATGGGCAAATGTATTTCATTAACAGGAGGGTGATATGGAAAAGGTTTTAGTAGCATTGCAGCCATAACAGCTTGTAGGCCATTGCAATCTCCCCTGATATAGAAAAAGCATTTGGTAGTGTCCTCGGTGCCCATGTCTCCATACAGCCATTTTCATGCTGTATTCCATATATTTTGAAATATAAGAAACAAGTTAAGAGTCACTTTGGTACATGTCCTTGATGGAGCAATTCAGAAGAAGAAAAGTAACCAGTTTATACCCTTCTCCCAGTGCAAAAAAAAGAATGTTTGGCTATATTCAGCTGTGAAGTAAAGCAAAGCTTGCTGACCTGAAATCTAGTGAGCTGTACCTGATTAACCCAGGGCACACTTGACATATTGATTATAATTTGAAAATACTTGTTTTTACCTAGCCAACAGTTTCCAAATACTCCTTTAGAAGTCAGAAGTGGGGGTTGGTCTGATGTCAATCTTCTGTTTTCCAACACAGAACATGTGTACCATTGAAGCAGAACTGGAAAGCCTATTGGGGGAGTTTTGCATCAAGATGAAAGGTAATTACTTCCCCCCTCCCCTTCTCTGCATGAACAGAACTGCAAGAGCTCTCTGTATGCATTCCTGAAAGCTTTGAGAGCACAAGCTAATTTAGGTTTAATGTACGATAGGTTTGTTTTTCCCATCGCATCAATTTCTGAGCATTCAAAACGGTGACTTACACCTATGCCCAATGGAATGGATCACACAGATACGAACATCAAAGTTGCACAGTGAGCTCTTCAAAGATCATTCTTCTGATTTTTGAGAGAGAAGAGCTAATTAGACTACATCACACACTCATTTTGATAGCCAAAGCAATGCAATTTCTAAGACTACTGTGATCTTTTGCCTCTATTTTAGTAACAGTCCAACTTTTATAACTAAGAAACTGTCATGCCCATGGAAGTGAATTTTAAGATATGTTCTTAATTTGATACCAGTGTTTTCAAAGTCACTTTCCATTTACAGAGTCTGATTTTTTTTAAGCAAAATTTGAAGAGTGGTGGTGTCTTACATTTTAACAACTCATCTAGGTCAAGAGGATAATCTCCCTTTCAATCTTAAGACCCATGTCTTTTTTTACGGTAGAAGTCTGACTTCTTTCACTAGATTAATGACTCTGAATACAATAGAAGTATTTTTTACCTGAAGCCAATCTTACTGAAATAGACATCCTTTGACAACCTTAGTGACTCATTAGGTGTCAAAAGTGTTGTTTTAAGACTCAGGGTCTTGGGGCAGAAAAAACTGGGAAAAAAATCTGTTGGATTCAGTTCTATTTGTATATCATGTTTCTCTTTGTCGTCATCAATTGTGATCATTAAAACATAAACCCTGCTTATATGCAGGGGGCAGCCCTTGAGGTTCCTTCTAACTATATGCTTCTCTACATGAAAACAAAATCTTTAAACTTTTTTTGAACGCCTTATTTCAAATTGAGAAACTACATAGGCTCCCATCCACCCTGGGTAAAAGGATGTTGCAAAAACCATTGGTTGGAGGATCCTGAGCTTGCTATGCATGTACAACACTGTACTTCCACATGCTACAGGTCTTTTACAAGCATTAGTTCTATCAGTTGGTTATAGCACCTGAGACAAGAGCTCTATTTAGACAAAGTCAAGCTGAACTGGTGCGGTCTGCAATGATTACTCCCAGCAAAGATGGAAAGTGACAAGTATTGCAACTAGGTTGGGTTGGTTAGTCTTCCAACTTCATCCTTGCAATGCCTCACATTTAAAAGTCCCTGCTTTCAGTGGGGAACTACAGGTGAAATAGGAGTCTACCAGTACACTTTGGTATAACAATAAAAGCATTTAGGCTGACCCCCACCCCCCAACCCTGTTGCCCTAAAACTGCTATGTGGAGACACTATGCCAGTGATGAGGACAGGCACTGCAAAAGCTTGTTCTGGCAGTCAGAGTTCCTGCTGGGGTTTCCTGATCATAGATGCACACACTTTTGGGTTTGACCTCTTCGTTGCTTATGCTAGAGATGCCATCACAAATGACATGGCTTCAAAGACTTGATCCTGCACTCATCAAATACTCATATCTTCCAGTAAAATGAATGGAAACCCTACTGAAGCTTGATCTTTCATACCATGCACTTAAACTGGGAAAAATAAGCAGGAATATAATAGTCATAAATACAAATCCTAATTACCAGCAGAAGTCCCACTCTGAGGATGAGGAAGAGTATATAGGCCATGTTCATACTTATGCTGCTCTGCTGCCAGGTAGCAGCCACCACAGCCAAGCCATTAGAGTGCATGCCCTTTAATGGCAGCTCTGCATGGCTCCATTCAGCAGCTGTGGTACAAGGGCACAGGCAGCTTCCAGGAAAGACACCTGCTACTGCTGTTGAAGGGACTGTGGCAGCTGACAAAAGGCCCAGAAAGTGCTTGTGTGTGTCTTCTATTGAGTGTCAAGTGTTAGCAGAGCCTCAGTTTTGCAGGCAGAACTGTAGTGCAGGGTAGACTAGAACAAAGTCAAAATATTTTCTAGTTAAGATATTTAAGATTTTCCACAAGATGGTTTCATCTTTTCAACAGAAATCATCCCATAGATCAGTGGTTCCCAATCTGTGGTATGCAATATGTGGTACACAGACAACCTGTCAGTGGTACAGATTTATAATAATTATTTTATATGACAAAAATTTGCTGGTGGTACTTAAGGTTGAACTGAAAAATTTGCTGGTGGCACTTAAGGGTGTATTGTTTTAAATTGGTGGCATGCAATGTGTCTGAATTTGGGAACCGCTGCCATAGATGATTAAATCCAGTCAGAGGTGCTACTGGACCTTTCAAACAGCAACAGCACTAGAAAATACAGGGTATAAAGCAACACTGTGTTTGTGACACTGGTTGTATCTACATGAGACACTGACTGCGCACTTACTGTGCAGTCATTTAATACTTGCATACCCAAGTACTAAATGACCACGCAGTAACCAGAGCTATTGCGCAGTAGTCTCCCCGCATGGCTTTGTGGTGATGCTGACTGTGCAGTAGCTCATTACTACTGCGCAGTAGCACCATGTCACAGTTCATGCCCCACAATGCTACTGCACAGTAGTAACTAGCTATTGTGCAGTAAGCGTCTCGTGTGGACACAGACACTGTGACATATCCAAGTAACTCTGAGGGTGGAACTCCAAACCTTACCCCTTTTCCACTGTATCAGTACAAGCTAGTTTTATTCTGTGCATCATGCATTAACACTGGGGAAGACCCCACTCTCTTTCACATGCATTAATTGAAGGCCATGGACAACATTATTGGGAGATAAAAGGCACTAGCAGTATTTTCATAATATATGCTGTTAAAAAAAAAAAGAAGCCACAATCACTTTTCACTGTTCTAAAATGACCCTGCCAGAAAGGTTAGCCCTCCTATTGGGATCCACACTGGTGTTCCAAGGATTAACAAAACAGCATCATATATCATAAGAAGTCCCCCCCCCAGCCCCTTCCCGGAAGCACCTTCTCTAGGATTCTTCTCCCGGCCTGCCTGAAAATAGAAAGTTGCAGCCTGTTGAATGACAGCAGAGGACAAGGGCAGAAGTGAGCACTGTGATCAGCTAGTCTGAGCTCATATATAAATCCATGTCAGAGGATCTCCCTGAATTTATTTCTGTTGAATCTATAGCATGTCTTCTAGAAAAGCATCCAGTCTTACTTACAAATTGCCAATAATGGAGAATGCTTCTGCTAAGCTGTTCCAATGGGTAAATTTGCTCACAGTTAAAATTGTCCACCTTGCTTCTTTTTAACTTCAGTGTCCAGCCATTGGCTCTTGAAGAGCCCTCCATTATCAAAATGTCACTTCCCCCTGTCTGTAAACCATGAGCAAGTCGCCTCTCAGCTTTTTCTTTGTTAAGCTAAAACAGGTTGAGCTTCTTCAATGTTATGGGCTACTGTAATATCACAGCCATGGTGCTGTCTCCTTTCCCAAACAAATGCCTGGTAGGCCAACTACCTCTCACCAGGCTTGTTTAAAAACAAAGATGGAGCTACATTTTTAAACCACCCTCTCTCCCCCCTCCC